CTTTCCCTTCCAAATCTAATGTTGCTTACTTCTGTTCCTGCCCCCAATTAATAGGAACAAGAAAAATAAGAGCTAAAACATGACCTCCATTTTGATATCTGATTCTGCATCTAATCAGTTAAATTAGGAGGTTTTAATGTGACTTTCAATATTTCTACAGTGTCATTTCGGGCTCTTTGTCACATGGTGAACCTGGCCATGGATTGGCTGACAGAGTCATTAACTGCAGAGAGGTTCTGGAAGCTTTCAACCTCCTAGTGCTCCAGGTCACCTCCTGCCCATACACTCTGCAGACCCAACAGTCCCGAATCAGCGCCAACAACGAGGTTCACTGGATACAGCTGGACAGCACAGTGAGTCTCTGTTCTACCCTCTGATACACAGTCATGTTCTCAGTTCCCCTGGGGAGCAGAATCTTGTAATAAAATATGGTCATGGCAAAAGAGTTCAAAAAACTAACTAACATAATGCTTTCTCACCTAAAAGTTCCATATAATTACAATTATTATTCACTAAAAACTAGTGAATAGTGTTCGCTATAAATTTGATTCAGTGGTGCTTTTTTGGGCTATCATGCAGATACAAAATTGTCTATCCAGTATAGTTTGTCCCCCTAAAATGTGATGTCAGCTGACACCATCATCATCAATATCCTGGATTAGCTTTGTGCCTTTAAATGATTCATTCCAATCTAAAACTTGAAAATTTTATTGTCCTCTTGTTTCAGTCTTACTGATCTAGATGTATATCTATATGTTAATTATTCTCATGCTTCCCAGCAACTGGATTTTTCCTTTTAATCAATTCTCACAGACTTCTAGTTGAAACAGAAGATGCTGGTACTGTTACTCTAAATTACTCAGGGGACTTCCCTGGCAGTCCAGTGGTTAAGTCTCCGTGCTTCCACCGCAGGGCACACGAGTTTGATCTCTGGTCAGGGAACTAAGATCCCACATGCTGCACAGTGTGGCCAAAAAGGAAAAAAAAAAAAAAGACTTTAAACAGGAATTCCCTGGTGGTCCAGTGGTTAGGACTCCACAGACAAGACAAAACAAAACACTCTAAATTACTCATTAGTATCATTTAATGCGTTGAGAATAGCTAATCACTGTACACATCCAGGTCCAGTCCCTAATACTTAAAAGATATTTTCTGTGACCTATAAACTGTAAGCTAAATATATTAGCAAATTAAAAAATGAGTTTTATTAAAAAACAATAGAGATCAGCCGTTAAGCAATAGAACCTTTGTTTAGAAATACTGAACTGTGAGATATTTTAAAATAAACATGTTTAAGTAAAAGAGGCCAGAAATGTCTTACATAAGAATAACTGTTTATTTTTCAACCCAATGCATTTCACTCTGTTATGAAGTAGGTAAGAAGACTTGGAGCCCTTCTCTTTGAGTATTGGTGTGTCCTTTACAGTCAAGCAAGCTCAGGTCCCTGACTCATGTTGGCATCACCAGTCCCTCCCTTGTGAGAACTGTCTCGGTGTGTTGACTGTCACAAGGAGGTTGCTTTGAGCTTTCACTTTGCTGGTATCTTCTCCACCCTAGCTCTGTCCATGAATTGGGTGGGCAAGTTATGGGTGAGATAAGAAGCTGCCAGAGTTCCTTTGCCTCTGAACCAAAACCTATGGTGTGCCTAGGGTCAACCCCAGTAGTTGTCCTGACATGGAATGGGATAGCCAGTAGAACTGAGAAAAAGAAACAGTGTTTTTAATCCAACAGATAGGGCTCCAACTAAACGTTAAGTTGAATATACTGTTAGGGGGGAAAAAGGAGAACTATCCTATCCTGAACAGTTGGTTCAGTCTTTTTCTGGAAGGGATCACTCCAGTGATAGGAGGATGGGCTCATAGCTTCTGCCCTTTGTCTTCTCCTGATGTGAAATAATAGAGAAACAAGCTTAAAATAATTTTCCTTAAAAGTCATTCCTGTGATTGTGGTTAATTTTTTTAAGTATAATGATGGTACTGTGGTTATATTTTTTAAAGGATTCCAGTCTTAGAGATATCTAGTGAAGTGTTTGTGGATTAGAGATATGATACCCAGGATCATATTCAAAGTATTTGAGGGGTGGGGAGTTATTATATTCTAATTAAAGTTTTAAAAAAATCATCCCTATGACATTGAGAGGAACATGGAGAAAAGGTAAAAACAATGAATCTAATTTACAACAACTTTACACATTTAGGGGCGAAGCTCTAGTGATTAGCTTCCTTTAGTTATCCTGAAGCCAATGTCCTAAAGAAGGAATGATAGAGAAAAGCAAAGAAAGTAGCCTCAAAAAATATTAGTGAGCACTTGTGGGCTTGTGTTAGATCTTTCCAAGAACACACAGAGAGCTGATGGTTTAAGGAGAAAGCAAAGTACGTATAAAAGCCACTATTATTCCAAAGTAGAATAAGACATAGATAGAGAAAACAGATTGGTGGTTTTCAGAGGCGGGGGCTGGAGGGTAGACAAAATGGGTGAAGGTGGTCAAAAGGCATAGACTTCCAGTTATAAAATAGATAATTCCTGGGGAAATAATGTACAGCAAAGTGACTATAGTTAATAATACTGTATGGTATATTTGAAAGTTGCTAAGAGAGTAGATCTTAAAAGTTCTCACCATAAGAAAACAAGAATTATAACCATGTGTGGTGAGGGATGGATGTTAACTAAACTTATTGTGGTGATCATTTCACAACATATGCAGATAGCAAATCATTACGCTGTACACCTGAAACTAATAGAATTTTATGTCAATTATATCTCAGTTTTTTTAAAAAAGAAAAAAATCAAGTTGTACCCCTTAAATATATACAATTTGTCAAAACAAAACAAAAAATGTAACAAAATAAAAACAAAGTAGAGTAAGACAATTGCAGAAAATCAAAGTGCTCTGTGGGTTGAAAGGAGGGAGAAGTCCCACCCATTTGAGAGCATCAGGAACGGCGACGTAGAGGACAGAGCACTTGGGATGGGCCTTGGAGGAGAGGAAGGACAGAGCAGACAGGGGAGCAGCCACTCCTGGCAGCAGACAGCTCGGGCAGGACCGCAGAGGAGTAAGCATCAGACATTTTTCAGAGAATACTTAGTGGGATGAAAAGAAACCTGGAAATATACATATGGAATCTTTGAGACCAGGCTGGAAAAGCTTACACTTATTACACAGGCATGAACGATATTTTAGCAAGGGCATAGTATTATTAGAAATAACATTGAGACACAGATGGAGAGAACAAACGTATGGACACCAAGAGGGGAAAGTGGCGGGGGGGTGGGTGATGAATTGGGAGATTGGGATTGACATGTATACACTAATATGTGTAAGATGGATAACTAATAAGAACCGGCTGAATAAAAAAATAAATTAAAATAAATTTAAAAAGAAATAGCAGAATATACATATTTCTTTTATTTTTTATATTCACAATGTTAATGTACAGCTTGATGCATTTTCACAAACTGAGCACACCCATGGGACCAGCACCCAGATGAAGAACTAGAACGCTAGCACCACTCCAGAAGCCAGGCACTCTCTCACGAGAGGGAAGCACTCTTCTGTCTCGGTTTGCCCCATTTTGAACGTTATATAAATGGAATCATGCAGTAGGCACTCTCTTATATCTGGCTTCTGTGCTCAACATTGTTTGTGAGATTCTTCTATATTTTGCATGAGTCATAAAACATTCATTCTTTTTGCTGTATATAGATTATGCTGGGTGACTCACCACAATTCATTTATTCATCCTATTCACTTATTTCAAATAGTGCTGCTTTAAGCATTTTAGTAGACATATGTATGCATTTTTGTTGGGTATGCATTTGGGAGTGAAATTGCTGAGTTCTGAGCTCAGCTTTAGTAGCTACAAAGAGGCTGCATTTTAAGGCAAGTTATCAACTATAGAGGCCAAGTCAAAGTGATTAGAAAGGGGGAGATGTGTCATCTGGCTTTTCTGATAATTCAGGTTAGAATGAACAAGAACCTAAATCAGAATAGTGGTCCTGGAAATACAAAGGATGGAAGAAATGGTAAATCTTCTAGGATTTATTTATTGGGGAAGAGGGAAGGGTCAGAGATATCTTTGAGGCGATGCCTTTAGTTGGAAAAGAGAAGTCAAGAGGAAGGTGGACCTCTGGAGGGCAGATGAGACGGATGTGGGCTGAGTGAAGACTGGGACGAGTGCACAGTCGCAAATGCAATGTGGGAGTTGTGATTAGGGCTTTACAATGAGGATTTGGAATAGATTTTAGAAATGCTAATCACTGAAGCAGCTGGTGTAGATAAAATCATGGAAGAAAGTAATGAAGAGAATGGCTGAGAGGGCAGTGAGGCCAAGGACTGAGGGTTTGGCCTCAGGAATCCTTGGTGACCTTCCGGGGAACAGTGTCCACAGAGCAGAGCATTTGGCTGGAGGAAAAGCAGAGACCGTAGTGAAAGGACAGGGAGGGCTGCAGCTGGGGGTCACTGAGAGGGTAGGACTTTGGGAGGGGAGATATTTTTCTTAAAAGAAGGCACATTATCCCCAAAGATACAAGGATTCAATAAATTGTATCACTTATGATTTGTGATACTTGGGGATGTGTGTTTCTTTAGAGGAACATCATTCTGAGTTTGATAACTCGTATTTTAAAAGATAGTCCCATTAACTTCTACTTACAAGTCTGCACTTACAGTTTAATGCAAACACAACAGAAAGGGGGAACTATTCACTTCTTATTTTTAGTAGCTCTAGTTCTTAAAACCATACTGGCTCCAGTTGGTGATAAGCCATCTATTTAACAAGCTGCCCTCTCATTTTGCTAAGAGAAAGAAAAGTGAAAATGAAAACAGGTGGAGGCTTCCTGTTCAGC